ATGAAAGCTGCATGGCAAATATTAAAAGGCAAAGTATCCTCATTTAATAGTATTTGGCTATCTTGCTCATGGGTTCAATCTTCTGGCAAAGGACATAGCAAGCGTAAATATAATGAAGACAATATTGGCAAATGGCAAAGCAATTGTGAAGGTATTCAACAATCATCGTGTTGCTAAGCAGACTGAAAAAATTACATAAAGAGAAGCGGGGAAGGAAAGTGCACTTTCATTGCCAGGAGAAACTAGATGGGGCTCAGCTACAAAGTGTTTACATAGTTTGCTGCGCACAAAAAACTGTTTGCAGTGTGCTTCAAGAGATGGCATGGTATCCCAGATTATTCCCATGAACATTCAGAAGAAAATTCTCCACAACAATGTGTTCTGGGTTCCAGTTCAAGGAGCATTCAATTTGCTACTACCAGTTTCAGTGGCAATCAAGAAACTTGAAGGAGATACAACAAGCCTTTCAAATATTTCAGAGATATTCAGACAACTGAATGAAAATCTAATTGAGCTTTTGCTTTCTTCACTTCTATCCAAAGTAGTAGTAGTAGTAAAACAAATGTTTACTAAGAGAACTGAGTGCTGCTCTTGTCCAGTTCATCTGGCTGCAAACCTTTTGGATCCTCAACATAGAGGACAACATTTATCAGAAGATGACTTATCTACTGCTCTCAATACAATTATAGAAGTAGCTAAGAGTGTCCCCAACATCAACGAAATAGCTGTGATGACAGACATTGCCGAGTACCACACAAAAGAAAAACTTTGGAGCAAAGACATCATTTAGTGGGCAACAGAGAATACATGGTGCAAGGGAGACTGTAACACCCAACTGTTGTCCAGGATTGCGTTAAGGATTCTTAGCATTCCACCAACAGCAGCTTCTTGTAAATGGAACTGGAAGGCTTTCAGCTCAACCAAGACAAAGAGGAATAGACTAACAAATGAATGCACTGCTAAGCTTGTTCCTAGTTCTCAAAATATCTTGCTTCTGGAGAAATCAGAAGCACAGTTAGTGAAGAAGATGCAGTGTGGTAAGTTGCCCTTGCCCATAGTCTAATTGGTAAAACCATCCTGTAGCAAAAGAGAATATGGTTCAAGTAGTTCTGAATCAAATTTGCCTCAATCTGATTCTGAAATGGAACTAATAAGTGCGAGTGATTCTACAGATAGTGACAGTGAAACTGGAGGTGCTGCAGTGACCTCAATGGAAGAGATTTAAACTCTGTTGAAGTAGGCAAGTGGACATATCATACACAGTTCTTTGGGTGTGCTGAAATTAGTGTCAGCAGTTTTCAGTGCTTTCTTTTTTTTCTTAAATTTAAACAAACAATGTACGGGAAGTACATGCTATTATGTATTGTCTTTACATTTTTACAAGTTTTCCAATAAAAATAATTTATTTCCACATAAAGCTTTGAATTTTTTTTACTATAACATATAAACCACATTAAGTGTGTTTTATTTAATTTTTTTCCTGATCAAATATTTCAATTCAAATATTTGTCGCTATCGGGACATAAAATTAACATGGCTTGTGGCTATTGGGGGTACTTTTTTAGTTTTGTTTACTAAATATAAGTCAAATAAACTAAACGCAAAATCAGATCATGCATTTAGGGCAATGCAAACATGAAACAAATATGCTAAATCAGATCACACTGTTTTTAGGGCCTTGGAAAATTTTCCAGAAAACCTACATCTCTGGCTGCAGAAAAATAATTTCAAAATACCTAAAAATTTCTAAGATTCATAGATTGTTAGGGGCTGGAAGGAAGATAAGCAAATCCACTCTGGTGCACAAATATAAAATAAAAGGGCAAATCTAGCAACCATCTGCCAAAGACAACTGCCAAAAGGGATCAAACCCACTTCATATCATAGAATAAAAAAGAGCTCCATGAAGCCATTGCATTTGGCCCACAGGTCAGGAAATTTGGCAGTAGGGGAGCAGTGTCCATTAAAACAATGACCCTCCCCTATGTCAAATTCCCAAGCCCCGCAAGCCTGGCCGCAGCCAGGCTGTGCCCTCTTTCCCCTGCAAGGCTGGGTTGGTGCTGTGTCATATCCCCCTTCTCCCTGTGAGGCGGGGTCATGTTCCTTTTCCCTACAGGGCTGGGTCATGCCTCCTTCCCCCTGTGGGACTGGGTCATATCCCTCTCTTCTCCTTGCCTGCCCCGTGCTCCTCCAGTGTGCCAGGTGAAGCCCCCTCCTCCCCCTGGGGCTGGGCTCAAGGCAGGCTGCCTCCCACCACCCTCCAAATAGCTGTATGGTGGCTGCTATGTTGGTCCTGGCCACTGGATTGGAACCACCATCTGGACCATGGTCAGATCAGGCACTGCCTGTCCAGCCTGTTGGGGAAAAAGACTGAGCACCACTGGGTTAGCAGATGCAACTAAAGTGAATGTGTGTGCACCATCACACATATGATCAATCAAAGAATCAAACAACTGGCTGTAATAAAACCCTCAAAATACACTGAGTCCTAGTGAAAAGTAATATTAATCTTGTCTCTGCATTATGCTTCAGCACACATTTTAAAGGGCCATGCTTTTGAAAACTGTGGCATGTGGGGAGACTCAGCATACAACAATTAAAGCAGCATTATACTTGTAACCCATATTGATGTTGGGATGTAAATCAGGAACTTCAAGATTCCCATTGGCATTACTTTCTTTATGCTTGCCAGTGGACTGTGCTAGAATACAGCATAACATACACCATTTACCAGTTCACCTAAGAAAAAAAGCCAAGACTGAACATAAGCCCTACCTGATGTTTTTTTTGCTTTAGATAACATTCAACTAAAATAAAAACTCTTGCAGTGCTTATTTCCCTAATTTTCATTAGGGAAATTATTCACAAATATTTGCCACATAAGCACAGATAGAAAGGTACCTTTCAAAAACTTCACAATGAGGCACCAAATCACCCTCTTAGTTGCAGCCACAGTACTGTATATATGCATATGAACAGCCACTCACTTCTAGCAGTGGAAATTTGTGGGAAATTTCAGTGATTAGAAGTCTTTCCAAGAGAGGGAGTACACAGGTGTTGCAGCCTCCAGGTACCCCCCTCTCCCATACTCCCTGTGCCTTCCCCATACCAGAGTGGATCCTGGTCTAGGGAAGGTGTGGAGAGCAGTGGGGAAAAGACTGCTCCATGCATTCCGCAGACCACAGTCACCCTGGTATTAGGAAGCTGCAGAGAGCACTACCCCACTGCTCCCTCCCCTCCTGGTTTCTGGGAGTGGAGCGAGTAGTGGGGCACCATCCCATGCCTCTTCCCTAGACAGGGTATCTTTTTAAAGGTCTGGGGTGCTATGAGCCAAACATCAGTGAATTTTCCCTCATGTTGGGCTCAGGATGCCGCGGACCTTTAAAAAAAGGGTTCTGCAGCTGGGAGCCCTGACTGAACACCTGACAACTTTTTAAAGTTTTTTGGGCACAGTAAGCGTGACATCATGAGAGCCTCCCCTGTGTCGAGCAGCATGGACTGTGTAAGATTGGAATAGAGGTTGTTAGTAGTGCATCTTTTATTTTAAATCTGCAATACGAACTTCAGTTCCCACGTATGAGAAGTGTTACAAAGTCCTGTGCAGAATCAGGTTACGTAGCTGCATTCTGGACACCATTACCAGACCAAAGCCTAATGTAATTTGTGGCAATTTACTTAGACACAGAACAAGCAGAACAGTCTGCTGCTCTGCACTTAAAGCCTGATTTGACACCAGTGAAATGTGAAGGAGGCACTGCATTCTAAATCAGTCCAACAAAGATCTATTACCTTGTTCCATGTTATTACTGGCTCAGGCTCTCCCTGACTACTGCAGGGAATCTGAACATTTGTTCCAACTTCTACTGTCATATCACTTGGAACGCTAGTGAACACCGGGGTAACTAAAAAGAAGTTACATTGACAGTTAAAAAGAACAGTAAAGAAAATTCAGAGGCATATAACTTGAAACAGGAACTATACTAAATAAATGTAACCATTAGAGTAATTAAATTTTTTAAAAGCCAAGACAAGGACATTTTTAAAAAATAAAAATAACGTTTTGAAAGTACCACTATTTGTACATAAAAATATCAGCAAAATCTTTACTATGGGACAGATAATATTCTGTTTTTAAAGGAAACTATTACACTACTTTGTTCTCAGTTGCTTACAACTGTTGTCAAATGTTAAAACCCCATTTGGACTAAAATTTTCCATGATTTTTGGGTCAGGTTGATTTCCTCCCCCCGCAAAAAATAAGAGTCTGGTTGACCAGTCTGGTCATTTCTGAGAAGCAAGCTGTGGAAAAACTGCTATATCTATATTCGAATATTCTGGAAACTGAAATATTTTCTTTAACAGCTCTAGAACCTGCAGGCTTTACAATTTCAGAGAAAGTGTGAACCTTTGTGCCAGTAATGTGATTTCCTGTTCCCCTGAAAACCCGCAAAGGCAAATTTAACCCAGCTAAAATATCATTATTCTTCTATTAAATTACATCCACACTTTCAGGCTTTTTCATATAATAAGATCTTTTCATATTATAAGAGCACTCAGAGTTCCCAAAAAGCATCAAGTCTTTTTTGTATTAAATGCTGAACAAGAAAGAATGTACTAATTATATGAATTATACTGTGATAAAGGTAAAAAGTGCCTTTTGGAATTATTTGAACCAGAGACTTCAACATTTAAGAGAGTCTAATATCCATGATGAGAAGAATAAACCGTGCATCTAAGTTAATATTTTAACCTCAGTCTAAACGTAGCATTTTTTAACAGATGCAAATATGGATATTGAAAACGTACCTCTGGGTTGTACTGTTAGGTATACAGTAATTCTTTGAGATCCTATAATATTGACAGCTTGACACTCATATTGGCCTTGGTCATGTAAAGCCACTCTGGAAATCCTCAAGGTTCCAGATGACAGTACTAAATGTCTTCTATCAACTGACAGTTGGCTCCCTGAACCACAACACAATTTATTAGTTATAACAACATAAGATAAAATATTTATTTTTTAAAAATGAGAATGCAAGAAATTAGGGTTTATGCTAACAACAACAATATTGTTTTGTGAAATGTCTAGTTGTTTTTTTTTAATTTAGGAGAAATTTTTGGAAACCATTACCTACTGCCACAACAGACCATATCTGCCTGAATACAAGATGACCCTGAATTTAAGATGATCTCCCAATAATTAGATTCTATACATAGAAAATTTATAAATATACTATAAGTTTTCCACGTACAAAACCTAATTATTGGACAATCATCTTCAATTTATCCCTCCACTACTGCCAAGTGGTGAGGGGAGAGGTCATGAGGGGGACAGTAATGGGGTAGGTGGTGGGAGGGACAAACAGTGGGGGAGGTAGTAGGGAGGGGACACATGGTAGGAGGCAGTAATGGGGCAGGC